CCAGGCTGGCCTTAAACTCACGGCAATCCTTTTGCCTGAGCCTCCTGAGTATTGTGATTATGGGCATAGGCCATAATCCTGGCTATTTTTACAAGTCTAACGCAGATACACTACATTAAAAGCCTATTACTTTTAGTTTATTGCTGCATATAAAAAAGGTTTAAATTATTCTAATGACAGAAATAAGAAACAACGTGAAAAATAAAAGAATTCAACATGTTACAAATATCCAAAGCTTGTTCTTACTTTTTCTTTTTCAGACTGTATAACTTTTTTTTTGTCTTTTTGAGATAGGGTCTTGTTATACCATTCAAACTGGCCTTGAGCTCACTTTGTAGCCCAGGCTGGTCTTGAACTCACAATATCCTCCTGCCTCAGCCTCTTGAGTGCTGGGATTACAGGCATGCACCACACCTGGCCAGAATTTCAATCTCTTCCCCCATATGTAATGATTATCTTTGTTCTTAAGAATGGGAAATAAAATCTTAACTAATTTAAAGACTGCTCATGCTTATACTGCTTTTAAGGAAACTAAGAGGCCCCTTATTCTGAGCTAAGAGGGAGCCCTATCAGTCAGTCTGAACAGGCAGAATGGGTCACTCAGCTCATGCTGGATTTGAGATTTGGCTTATATAGGAAGTGACATTTTAAATAATTCTTTTAATAGTATAATGACTGTAACAGAGCTCAAAGAGATTACAGAAGTGATATAATTCACTTTTTCACTGAAACCAAGGTCCTTCTCCACATGTCAGAACATCCTTTTATAGCACCCATGACAAGTTAGTGGTCTTCTAAAAAATTCTTATCCAAATATAGCAATCATCTCTCTAGATTTCTTGTTCAAAACAAATGATTCCTAAACAATTGAGTATTCTTCATATGAAGAGACCTCCCAGCTTTCTTTTATCTACATTACTTTTTTCTTCTACACCACAGTAAACTGGCAATGTCCCTTTTAATGCAGAGATCTGTAATGAATAATCTTCTCTAAACATGAGACTAGATCTGCACGCTTTATTTCAATTAGTGTAAGATTCCGTGGTCCTCTCTAGAAATTATATCATGCTCTGGATTTATCTTTGTGCACATTAACCTGCTTAAAATACATGATGAATTTCACAGATAATTAATTCCTGCTGTCAAATATATCCAGTGTGCCTACTATTTGAGTTTCTGAACAATCTTGTCTCAAATCTATTTATTTTGGTCCTTATCCCATCCCTTGACATTTAGCTAATATCAACTTTTGTACTTCAAAAACTGACTACCCATTTCTACACTGTCTTGTTTCAGAAACTCTCTGAAGACATTTTCATGTCACTATACATTGCAGCAAAAGTATCCTAAATGTCTGTCTTACTCGTGTCCTTTCACAAATGCACAAATTCCATAATTATGCTATTTTAATGTTTTGAAGTGACTCACTATGTCAAAGTCCAGTACTTGAAGTAAAAGACCTATAAATTAACATTTCACTTATAAATATGTTTAACCAAATTTGTTTTTATGATCTCCTGAAAGGAAAAATTAAAACTATCTAGAATGTTAAGTGGTTTATAAAAAATTACTAAAAATAATTATAAAGAACTTTCGTAACAATAATCATGTATTATACCTAAAATTCCAACTCTTTTGTTAGATTTATCATATTTCATTTTGTAATTCTTCTTAACAAATGTATTTAAAAGTTTTCTAGGAAAAAATACTTTAAAGTACTATATTTTACATATAATGGAGTACTACTTTTCCATAAAGCAAGATAAATGAGTTACCTGCAGGAAAATGGATGTAGTTTCTTTTTTTTTTGTTTTGGCCTTTTTCCTTTTTATTGGTACCGGGGATTGAACTCACGACTGCCTGCTTGCAAGGCAGGCACTTATGTCGCTGAGCTAAATCTCCAGCCCCTAAGTGGATGTACTTTCAGGATAATGTTAAGTGAAATAAATCAGACATATAAGCTTTATCATTGCATGGTTTCTCTAACATGAGAAACCCAAAGTATAAATAAAGAGCGAAATAAGATAGATGACAGGAAGTGAGAAGGGAAAGGGCATGAAAAAGGAGTAGGATGTCTTATGTACCTGTACCAATTCCTCACCAGGAATATGAACATCATATATATTCCAAACATGTACAAATAAATACTGTAAAGATAAAAATAAATATTAAATATTTAAATAAAATATATTCTTTAATAAAACTTACCTTACTACTCCCTGTCTTTGAAAGGAATAAAGGGGAAAAAGAGAAACATGAAAACTGATCAGGAGTAAACACAGCAGTTTATAAGCAGAAAGTATACACTATATCAACAGCATTCTAAGGAAATACAAAGCACCTACATCTTATGTCACATTGTTTTGAGTATTTTCATTAAAACAATTGGGAATTTGGCAAAATTTACTCTTTAGATTTATAAGACTTGCTATAAAAACATTAAGAAAAAAAATTACTGAAATTGTCCAAGAGAAACATCTATAAATAAGTACTAACCAGAAAGTGTAGTTACCAATTGTCATGAGAAATATTGTAGAAAGCAGAAATTCAGTATTTGTTTTGTTTACAAAATATGTTTTATGTCTTTTGGTCTCTGAGACAGGGTTTCATTCTGTGGCTCAGGCTGGCCCCAAACTCATGGCGATCCTCCAGCCTTTGCCTTCCCAGTGCTGGGGTTACAGACGTGCGCCATTGTACATGGCAGCTTTCTCACATTTGGGGATGACAAAAATATCTTTATTTAAAATATAAACCCATTTATATTATCTCCTCAGTAATATATTCAAAACTGATAAATCTCTTAATTTTTGTTACCTCCTTTGAGTCTACCATTTTGTAAAAAGGAAGACTCTCAAGAGCCACATTCACAACATTCGCTTTAGTAGTTTCAAAAGAATTCAGCAGAATTGATGTTATGAAACAACTGAGAACAACCAAAATAATTTCAAAAATAATTCTGAAAATCTTAGCTGCAAAGAAGGCAAGCTAGCAGCACAGATGACTCTTATGGCAGTGCTAATCATTCTTCATGACCTGGGAAGCATTTCATTTGTCAGAGTGTGAGCCTCTCAGCAGTGAGTGGGGAAACGTCCGTGCTGGACCACGAGTGATGGCCGACATATTAAATTAGGTTACACAATAAGCTCACACAGTTCATGATAAGCTTCTCTTTCAAAAATGAATATAATGTATGAAAGATTTGTGAGAATGTTTGGAAGCTGTTCTTCCCAGGCTGGGGATTAGCTTACCAAGGTAAGAGCCTGCTTGGCAAGCACAAAGTCATGAGTTCGATCCTCAGTACCAAAAAAAAAAGGAAATTTTTTTCTTCCCTATAGGACACTTTTCATTACTTAGATCAATAATTTCCCTTACTTACTAAGTTTTATACTGCAAATATTCTTAGGAATCCTGGCATTTCAATATGTATTAATATTCCTCTAGTTAATAAATATACAGGTAGTATTTGCTACTTTTTTGAACATTAAATTTCAGAAGTAATGTTTCACTATTTTACTGGCGACCTCACAGGTCGTTGGTTAAGACCTATCTTAATTCTTGGTGTAAAATATTTCATTTTAGCTTTGAATAACATATAAATTAGAAATTATAGTACTCATTTTGCTATTGAGGAAACTAAGGTTCGGAAAAAATGAACACTTGTGCAAGATCATCAACCAGTAAATTAGAAAAGTGAGTATTTTGGCCCATTTGTTTGCCTCCAAAATTCATGTCCTTAGCATTATATGCTGCTTCCACCAAGCTGCTTCAGCCTTGAATTCTGTACAAGTATTCAGACTACAGTATGATCTATTTTCCTAAAAAAATCTTATACTTTGCCCTTGCACATAACGAAGCAGATGACCACTGTGTAAGCGTCTTCCTTAGGGGAGCTCCCCTTGCAGTCATCTGAAGTCTCCCGTCAGCAAACTGAGCGCCTGAAGTAGAACTGAGGAGACCACACAATGGCTTCCCCAGTCCTCCCAGATTCCCTGGCAATATTCAGGGCAGCAAGCGCATCACAGTCTCTAGCTGTCCTCCTGACCAGCACTGAGGTGCAACCCAACCTGCAGTGTAAGTGCACAGGTTTCATGTTCAGCTTTTTCCTCGATGCCAACTTCTTACGATCACGCTTTTCCCATCACAGCCTTCCAGAGGTCACTGCTGCACCCTCTTCTCACTCCCTCTTCGCTTCTTGCTGCTGTTTCTGAATAAGCTATCCTTTATGATTTCTCAAAACATGTTTGCTTCTCAGGTACATGCCGCACGCCTCTCTTGTTGTTACAGTTGTTTGTCTGTTTGCAGTTCTGGGGACAGAACTATAGAACTCAGGGCCTCGCACGTGCTAGGCATGTTCTCTGCCAGTGAGCTACACTGCCAGCCTCTACAGGCCTCTAAGCCTACAGTTTCCCACCTTTGGTTTTGAAAGCATCAGGTCTACAATTTCTCATTTGATCTATGATTTAATGCTGAGACTTTATTGAAAGTTCTCTCCTCATAAAATTGCTACGCACATCCACTTATTTTTGATTTGAAAATTATAGATCAAGACTAGTAAATCCCATATAAGGTAAGCTATATTTTAACCTTTCTGTTATAGAAAATTTTGAAATGACAGTCTATCTTTGATAAAGGGGATATGGATAGAGAGGTCTTTTGAAAACTGAATCAAACCTCCGCTGCTCATAGGCTTCTTAAAAGTCTATGAATTCAGATTTTACTATTTCCCCTAACTCCATCAAATATACTTATGAAAGTTAGCAAGTAAGGTTACTTTACCCGTATTAACCGTATATATATATATGTAACATTCCCTACATTGTGCACAAAGACAGTATTATCAGAAAAAATATTTAAGGACCAAAATGTTTTCCTAAGAGTTGTTGGGAACTGCATAAATCAAGAATACCTTTGTTACTTAGTTTCTGTAGTACATCCATTGAAATAAAACATTTAATCATTATCTCAATATCTTTTTCTTCACCAAATTTTAAGCTTATTACCTCTCATCAACTGAGGGTTCTTTTTGTTGCAAATGAGGCTTGATTCCAAACATTGGGCGAATATTTGTTGATAAGGCTCTGATGTTATAACTGATTTCATTCTCCTTTGTAACATCGCTATCATAGCCTACAATCAAAATACAAAAGTTAATATTAAGTGAATTTAAAAAGATCAATTATGATTTTATAAATTAGGTATAGGATTTCCAACAATATAACATACATTGTATTGTACTCAAATTATGAAATAATATGCACCTAGTAAAAACTACATAGAAGAAAATTTAGCAATATGTAGTGATGTTTTTGAACTATCACTAAGAGATAAGAACAAGTTACAAAGTAAATTTAATATGGTACTTATTTGTTAAAAATTATATATTAGTAATGTGTAAAACTACTAAAAAACCCCAATTTTTTATTAAAAATTATTATGTATTCCTAAATATATATGTACCTTAGGATATACCTCAAATGTTAACAAGTTAATTTCTGAGTGGCTGAATTATACATAGTGTTTATTTTTATCTCAAAATGTATTTTCCATAATGAACTGGTATTACTGGATCTTAGGAAAACAAAAATATTTTCAAATAGGAAGTTTGATAAATTTTAACAGTATTTTTAAAAATCTGATTATCTTAGATTTATAGATGAAGAGTATCTAAATCATCAATACACACTAGCCTGTTATTCTGGAGTCACATAACCAATTTTGGTGTCCAATTAACATCACAATTATTCACACACCATTATTACTTTTTAAACTTTTGCAGTTTCAATCAGCTGTGCCGAATTTTTGTTATGATTTTGTTAAAGTGTTTTAAAATGACAGACCTCCATCTTCTTCAGAATCTGTATCAGATTCTTCACTGTCACAAATCCTTTTCTCTCGATAGCTCTCCATTTCATTTGTCCACACCATTAAAGACATATCTGCACCTCCAAGGGTAACCAGCATGCTGTCGTCGTAAGTCCAGCGAACATTTGTGACATGTGTACTGTGGGCCACATACCTCTTAAATTTTCCAAATTTTCCCTAAAAATTTTTTAAAAAACCCAGAAAATCAAAGTCTTTCTGAGAACTTCCATTATTTGAAAACTTATAAAATTAAATGAATTCTATTTTAGTTATATTTTCTTTCTTAAAACATCATTAGAAACTAGTTAATTCTCGAGTGCAACATGTATAAAAAACATGAGAAAATACCAAAATTTGCTAGAATAAAAAAATACCAATTATGAAACCTGTTAAGAATGTAATAAAACTGACAGTTTCCACACTGCATTATTAATTCCTTTAGAAACCAACTTTGTATTCCTAACAAATGGCTACATGTGCAAAAAAACCATTTAGCATAATATTCACTTAAGGTAGTGAAAACATCTATATACCTTAAGTATTTAACAGAATACAAGTTAACTGCCGTGTGCATCTAAGGAGTAAGTGTATATGTACTAATAACAATGTTGTGCAGATATGTTACTGCTGGAAACACAATAGCTGAAAAAGTATATAAACCCCTTGTACAGCATGGCTACAGTATCAAAATTATTAACTGCTTTGGAGTACAAAATGTATCTCCTTTTGTTTATAAGAATACACCTGGGAATGAATTTTCCATTTTGTGTGTATGTGTGATATTGAGGATCAATACCAGGACCTTACACAGCTTAGCGAGCACTTGACCAGTGAGTCACATCTCTAGCCTTGTATTTTCAGTATTAAAAAAAAATCCACACAATTCTAGGTTACAGATGTTGGTAAATTTTAAATCTAGAACATCAGCATTACCAAGTTACATAAGTACATTTCAGACAAATGTATCATAACCAGGTTTTAGACTGAGGTTTTTTTTTTTTTTTTTTTTTTGGGTACTGGGGATCGAACTTACAACCTCGTGCTTGCATGGCAGGCACTTATGCCACTGAGCTAAATCCCCAACCCTTAGATGGATATTTTTAAGTGTGTTAAAATAAGATTGAGAAAACAAAATGTAATGAATAGTAAAATAAGAATATTCTCTGGGAGAGACAATAAAAAGGAATGGGACTGTCACCAAAATACTGTAAGAGGTAGTTTTTCTAAGACTGTGTGATTCTTGCTATAATGAAGAAAGGAAGAACTCTGTAGACCAATATCCTAGATTCACTTGTCCCTAAGGGATTGACATGATCTGTAATTCTGAAAGTGAAGTTTCTGACTGATACTTTTAGTGGAACACATTGTTGTCAACCAAGGTCCTAATACTTCTATATATCTAAAACAGGATCTGTAGAATATTTTCTTGAGTGTTTGAGTTTACTGTTTTACTTCAGTGCTGATATAAAAATATTAATACATAAGCAGTTACTTAAAACAACCACAATAATGATAATGATTTCAGTATCCTATTTCATACTTATGTTTATGTTCATGATGGCGTAAGATTACTATAGCTTAATTTTTGACAGTTAAAATAAATATATCTGAATGTGATATTTTTGTGTTGTTCTGCAGTAGCTGAATAGAAAGAAGTAAAAAAGGAATTGAGTAACCATACAACGCAGTGTGGGTACACAGAACTCCAAAGAATCTATACAGTTGATTTCAGCAAAAATACCATTCATCAAAGAAAGTCAATTTTGTCTATTTTAATTTTATAGATGTTTAAGTGTTTTATATTTAATGGATGAAACATTTTACATTTAAAAGCAATGTCTATAAAATTTGTATTTACTCTTAATGGTACATATTTAGTAAAAATATTAAATTTATATAAGCTAATACTGGGGATTAAAGGAATGTATCTTTGAAAAGGGGTATTTACACTACTCAGCATTGAAACACACTGTACAACATAATATACAGCTTAAGGCATGGTATCATATATTAAAATATTCTAAATAAAAGTATAAACATGATGCCAATAATAGGAAACAATTCTGAATCTTTCATGCTACAACATTGTATATGACATATATACTCCTCTATGATGTATGATCCAAATACACAATTAAGGTTTAAATTTATAAAACTCATTATGGTAATAGACACATTGCCATTAGTCATCCTCATAATGCACTCCTCCTTTCAAATACACTTTTCATATCATTTCTTGCTACTTTCTGAAGCAGTTTTGGAAGTCTTTTGATAGTGTCTTATGAAGTGTGAACAAAAGTGAAAAAATATACAGTATATCCTGCTGCCAAGTACCAAGACTGGCTTGCAAAAACATCACACTGTGTCCTTACTCATAGTGTCTTGGCATCATGGGACTTGTGGCTCCTTCCCAAAGTAAACATTTTGAATGGACTCAGGACACCGACTCAGCCGTTACAGCACAACTGAAGACACTGGCAAGGGAGGCCTTCACAGCTGCTGAGGACAGCAGCAAGAACCATGCTGAAGGGAACTGATGGTAATGTCTTCCGTAATAAATCTTTAAAAATTTACACGTGAATGCAGTTTCTAATCATACCTCATATTCATATTCAAACAACGAAATGTTATAAAAGGATGCAACCTTAACCATTTTGTAGTTATGATCATTAGAAAGTTTAACATACTTTAGCAGGATATCTAAATAACTTCACAAATCCCAAATCATCCCCTGTAGCTAGGACCATTTTGTCACTGGTGAGGCAAGAGGCAGTGACATCTGTGACTTCTCCAATTACTGGCCAAATTCCCTCACAGCACACACCAAGCACGCTGGTCCATGATGCCCAACTAATTTTTTCCACCTGAAAAAAAAAAAAGAAAAACCTGCTCTAAGTTTGTAATATATAACTGACAACTAAACTCAACCAAATTAATAACTTTTACTTAGAGTCCTTCCCTTTTGTAAGCCATTTCATGTTAAATTTGGTAAGCATCTATTAAGACATATCAATAAAATTACTCTTGCCAGGCACAAAGCTTAACATAATTTTTCTTAAAATCTAAACACAATTTTTCTGGTTTTTTTTTAAACTAGGAATTTGCAAACAAACATCTTAGGTATGTGGGTTCTGAAAGATGTGGCAGACATGCAGTACTTCCAATTAGATGCCATCTTCTCTATTTCTCAGTGGATGCTTTCGTTCTTGGAAGACAGTGATTCAAGCATAGCCACTGGAGATTTATTCCACTTCTTAAAACACATCTCTTCTTTTATTCATCTATATATTCTAGCCCAGAAAGATAAACGCACCCAAAGGACAGCCATATTTTGAGTAATATGATCAGTATAAGCTTCATAAGTAAATAAATGATGGAAAGTATCAGTTTTCTAACTACTCTTACTTTTATATAAAAACCACTATAAGCACCAGTCTCTTCCTACCTCCACAATAGGGATGGTTTGTTTTTTTCCTCTAGGAGCTTCAAAGAATAACTGTTCTTTAGCACCAGTGTTGACCTGTAAAAGCTTTCCTTAAAATAATATAGAAATATAAAAGTATGAATAGTATATCATTAGTATAATGTTTACATTTTTATGGGAAAAAAACTAAGCTTAAATATAAAAATATTTTATTCTGGAATCAATATATCTGGAGCATTATGTTTTCTTACTTTTCTTATAATTCATTCATTCATTCATTAATGGTTTAATTTTTTTTTTTATCTTTTTGAGACAGGTGTTGCTATGCAGTTCAGGCTGGCCTCAAACTCACAGCAATCCACCTACCTCAGCTTCCCAAGTGCTGGAATTATAGGTGTGTGCCACCACACCTGGTGAATGGTTTAATTTTTTATGTGTAAACACATAAAAATATTTCTGTTATTTGTAATGTAAAAACTTTAGAAACAAGCTCTAGAAATGTTTTTTAAAAAGTAATTGGAAATACTTTAACAGTATTTGGAAAAACCTTAATTTATAATATTAAGTTTATAAAGTTGAAAATTTAAAATAACCCTAGAAAAGGGAGCATTTAAAATATTTAACATTTATCCAAATTTATCAAACACTGTGATATGCTATGCATTCTGCTAAAAAACAAAGACATTTGGGCTGGGGATACAGTTCAGCAGCACAGCACCAGCCTGCCACGCGTGAGGTCGAGTTCAATACCTGGGACCAAAAAACCCAAAAACCAGAAAACAAGGACAGTGTACACTGAAAAAATGATACTCATCAAATTTTTTATATTATGTGACTATTTTTAGGAAATATATTTTATACAACTACTAGGGGAAATAACTTAAAGTTATCATTAACATTTTTATTTCCAAATTGGAAGTTTGTCAAATTAATCTGACAAGATATACTGCATTATCATGACTAAAATTAGTTTTTATAATATTTAAATAACTTTACTAGCATTATAATGACATTAAAAAGTACAGTAAGATGTAAACTAAAGTAGTGGAAAATAATTTGAGAGCAATGTTTATCTTTTACAAGGTTTGTGAACCTGTTAAATCATACCGCAGTTATTTTGTTTTAACAGGAACACTTCTGGGTGTGGTGTTGCACACCTGTAATCCCATCACTCTGGATACTGAGGCAGGAAGATTTCAAGTTCAAGGCCAGCCTGGACTATGCAGCAAATTTAACACTAGTTTTGACTACGACAGCAAGATCTTGTCTCAGAAAACTAAAAAACAAAACTAAGAAAAATCTCAAACTACATTAAGTCAAATGAAACTAAGTCTTACCTCTGCTGTCCCAATCAATGTGAGTTATGTAGCTGGTCGCTCCTTTGCATATTCCTACCCGCTTACTGCTTATCACGTTGTATATATCTACAAAGCTGTCATGCGAAGCCACAGCTAGGTATTTCCCAGAACCTACAACAGAAACATATTTGCTTGGCATTTCGTACCAGTGGAAATATTTTTTTATACTCTGCAACTAAGGTTAATTTTCTTTACATATTTTTGGAGAAATCTTAGGTGTTTCATATGTTATATTAAAGAGAGACATGTCAAATGTCAAACAACACATTTTTCAAGCATATAATTAACAAAATGGAGCATATTTTACTGTAACAAATTAGTTTAGTAGAGAGCAGTTTACCAAAAATTATATACAGTGTAATTTAGAGGCACATCATATTAAAGACACTCTCTAAATTTAGGAAAAAAGGAAATTAAATCAGCAGAAGCAAATTTTGCCTTAGCATTAGTAATTCCTATATTATAGTAGGTTTACTAGCAGATAATGAATACGAGAAAATTGTTAAGAGTAAAATTAATACAATTTCAAATTCTATTAATATAAAAAGTCATCTAATCCTTTTTATGTTACAAATGAAAACACTGAGGCTTAGATAAATGTCTTGGTCCAACTCATATAGAAAATGTAGTGACATAAGAATTAGCACTCAGCAAGATATTTGCACTAATCAAATACAGTTTTATTTGTCACCATAAGGCCTCCTCTAGTAAAAAATAATTCTGAGATAAAATAAGTTGACCAAAATTAATAATGAAATACAATTTGAATGTTATTTTACCAGGTGAAAATTGAATATCTGAAATAATATCCTTTCTGTGATGGAAAGACACAAGGTCCTCTAGAGTATCTGCATTTGCCATTAAGAAACTTCCATCATTGAGACCTACAGCTAAAGCTTTTCCATCAGGAGAAAAACAGCAACACCTCCCACCTGCAAAAGGAAGAGAACATGTATCAGGTAATTCTTTAAATTAGCTTTTAAAGTATAAGCTTAAACGACCTTTAATTTCAAAGAGGATGCCTATATTTATCATTGCCTTAAGTCAACATAAAAAAGGCGTCAAGTGATGCACATAAACCAGGCATGGTGACGCACTCACTGGAAGGCTGAGACAGAAGGATTGACAGTTCAAGGCCTGCCCAGGCTACATAAAAAGATCCTGTCTCAAAATAAAACAAACATTAAAAAGAAAAAGATACAGAAGAAGCTTTCTATGAAAATCCAAGTACAGAATTCTAACGAGGTATAAAAACTCATTTTGGCCAGGAATGGTGGCACATGCCTGTAATCCCTGTCCTTGGGAGGCAGTGCTAGGACAGGAAGCTCATGATGAGTTCAAAAGCCAGTCTGAGCATCGAGGGTTCAAGGTCAGTATGAACTACTGACAGGGAAACCCTGTCTCAAAAATCCCCCTGCCAAAAAAACAAAGCAAAACAAAAAATCCCACAACAGAAAAACTCAAATTTATTTCTCAGTTTACAAAGTGAGCACTAAAACTAGTTATGAAAGAAATTATGTGACGAAAAAGAATGAGCGATATTAGTTAACATGAAAGACCCACTGACAGCCAGGCATGGCGGTGCAGGTGAGTTGAGGCCACCCTGGGCTACAAAGTGAGTTCAAGGGCAGCCTGACCTTGCCTTTAAAAAAGTCATGAACATAAGCAGCAATACTTTTGGGAAATGAAAAGGAGTGTAACGTTTGTAGATTTTTATCTAACGAATCAGAAATTGAAGGAATAAGACCAACTTTATTACAAAAATGCTTTTAAATATTTTAAAAATCTAACAACAGAATAACTGAGCAAAAAAGACAGGGCACTGCTACTCACTAATAACACTGAGTACCTCTGATTGAGCACTGAAGAAAAGTAGTAGCTACCTTGAGGCAGCGGTAAAAAATAAAGCCTGATACTGATCAATAAAGGAAAAGACAATCCAGCTGGACAATAGTCGTGGTTGACCAAGGAGGGAGCAAGTTAGCCCTGAGGACAACCTGCTACACTAAATAAACCCAAGCTCTCCCCTACTGGGCATGGTGAAGTTAGACTACTCCAACCTAGGGACTCACGGAAGCCTCAATCAGAACGGAGTAAACTTCACTGCGTTTACCACAGCTCCTGGACCCAGAGTCAGCACGTAGTGAGACACCAAAGGGAGGGAGAGAAGGTTCCTCCAACACAATTTTAATATCATCACCATCATCACCCTCATCCTCATCATCCTCATCATCATCCACCGGTTTCTCACACATGCAATGGGAGTGTGGTATGTGGAATATTCAGCGCCCAACCCATGACTGTTGTTGGCCGGTCGGCTATTGGTGGGGGGTACACCCAGCAACACTTAGTGGAGAAGGTAAGGAGGAAGTGAACCTTAGTCCTGTGAGGAAATCAGAAAACAATACAGCAACAGAAGCCCGGAGAAAAAAGATCTGTGGTTTCTGTGGTGAAGCAGAAACAGATAACTTCAATCCTAATCTGGGAGCGTGGCCTCAGATCTTACTCTTGAAAGAGTAAGATCATTCTGGATCTTACTCTTTCAAAGCTTCTCATACTAGGGAGATGATATGATGTTTACACTTCTGAGTCTGATTTATTTTACTTATAAGTATTGTCTTGAGTTGCATCCATTTACCTATAAAAGTCTCAAGCTTATCCTTTTGCATGGCTGAATGATACTTCACAGCAGAAAAATACAAGTTTTTTTTTAATCCATTCTTGGTGGATGGGCATCTGGCATCTTGTTTCCAAGATTTAGCTATTACAAACTGTGCTGCTACAAACATGGGTACATATATATGGCTATGGTATGATGGTCTCAATTATTCTGGGTAGATACCCAGAAAGGGAACAGGCAAGAAAAACCTATGAAGGAAGAAGAAAGAAGGAAGGAAGAAAGGAAAGGAAGAGAGAAAGGGAGAAAAAGAGAGAAAGAGAGACAAACCTATAGGGGAAGACACAGAAAAGTCCATGATATTTACCCTCCAAATCAATCAAGACAACCGGATCCACAGGGGTGTGGAGGGTGCCTGTCTTGAGTCAGTGATTTGGGGGGGAACTCCATGAGTTCCACGAGTTAGGAGGGAATAACACACCCCAAAGCTTCAGAGAGGCAACTGTCTCCATAGGAGGAAATTCTGTGATTAATTGAAACCAGACAGTGATACCAGGGAAGAAGGAACTGTGCCAAAGACTGGGGTTATTGCTTTTTTTAAAAAAATTATTTTAGGGGCTGGGGATTTAGCTCAGCGGAATAAGCACCTGCCTTGCAAGCAGGTGGTCGTGAGTTCAATCCCTGATACCGATAAAAAGTTTAAAAAATATATATATTTTAAAGAGAAAAACTCAATTTCAAAACAAAATAATTTAAGACAGTAACAATGGTTAATACACTGTATATTGTTATCTTCAAAAGTAGTTACTCAAAGTACAAGATACAGGCATGAAAAACTGTCCAAACAATATTAGCACAAACCTTTTCAATGAACTAAGAGAAATTAATAAAATTATTTTAATGATCTTGTGTATATATTTATATAAAGATTCTTTCTTTTCCTTTCCTTTTCTCCTTTCTCCATCCCAGTTTCTTTTCTTTTGAGAAAAGAGAAAACATACTGTTCCCATTTCACAGTATCTATGTACATTCTGGATCTTATTCTTTGAAAGCTTCTCATACTAGGGAGATGATATGATGTTTACACTTCTGAGTCTGATTTATTTTACTTATAAGTATTGTCTTGAGTTGCATCCATTTACCTATAAAAGTCTCAAGCTTATCCTTTTGCATGGCTGAATGATACTTCACAGCAGAAAAATACAAGTTTTTTTATCCATCCTTGATGGATGGGCATCTGGCATCTTGTTTCCAAGGTTTAGCTATTACAAACGTGCTGCTACAAACATGGGTACATATATATGGCTATGGTATGATGGTCTCAATTATTCTGGGTAGATACCCAGAAAGGGAACAGAACTTCTAATTCTACTCTTTCGAGGACTCTCCACAGTGATTTCCACAGTGGTTGTACCACTCTACACACCAACAGTGAAGAAGGGTTCCCTTTCCCCCCATAGCTCCACCAGCATTTGTTATTGGTCGATTTCTTGATGATAGCCATTTTTCCTGAGGTGAGATGCAAGTTTAATTTACATCTCAAATGATCAGTGATGTTGAACAATTTTTTCTTGTATTTGCCATTTGTTCACTTCTTGTCTAAGAAGTGCATTTTCATCTCAGATGCCCATTTTGGGATTGGGTCTTGGAATTTAAGGGGACTGGTTTTTTTTTCCAATTCTTTATACATTTTAGATGTAAGTCCTTTGTCTGAGGTACAGCTGGCTATAATTTTTCCCCTCTCTGAGTTGTCTGTGCAAATGCTTTTTAATAAGAGACCCTATTTGTTGATTCTTTGTACTATTTCCTATGCAGTCTAGGTTTTGTTGTGAGGTCTCTGCCTACATCTATGTGTTCGAGATTTCTAACTATTTTCTCTTGCAGTAGTTTTAGTGTTTCTATTTTAATACTTAGATCTTTGATCCATTTTGACTTTAGTTTGGTAGATGGTGATAGGTATGGGTCTAGTTTTAGTTGTTGACACGTGGAAAGCCAACTTTTCAAGTACCATTTATTAAATAGGCTTTCTTTCCATTGAAGGTGTGTGAGTCCTTTGTCAAAGATAAGGTGGTTTAGTGTGCTTGGAGTTGTGTCTGCACTTTCTATTCTGTTCCAGTGATCCTCAGGGTTTTTTTCCAATATCATGTTGATATTATTATAGTAGTTTGTACTATAATTTCAAATCAGGGATTGTGATGCTCCCCCGACTTACCTTCGGTGGCCAGAATTTCATTTGCTATTCTAGTTCTCTTCTGGCTCCAAATGAATTTTAGCATGCATTTTTTTCTAATTCTGTGAGAAATGCTAATGGTATTTTGATTGTTACTGCCTTAAATCGGTATAACAATGTTGGGAGTACGGGCAGTTTCACTATGATGGTTCTTCCTATCCATGAGCAAGGGTTATCTTTCCACTTTCTGATAGCCTCTTTGATCTCCTTCTTCAGTATACTGCACTTTTCAATGTTTAGATCTACTTTCTGTGTTAGATTGATTCCTAAGCATTTCAGTTTTTTGGATGCTATTGTGAAAGGTATAGTTTCCCAAATTTCTCTTTGTGACTTTATTGCTTTTGTACCAGAATGCTACTGATCTTATCTTTGACTTTTTATCCAGCTACCTGACTGAATTTGGTTATTAAATCTAAAAGTGTTTTGGTGGAGTTTTTAAGGTCTTCTATGTAGACTATATGTCATCTGTAAATAACAGTATTTTCTTTCCTTCCTTCCTTATTCCTTTTATGTCTTTTGTCTAACTGCTTTGGTTAATGTTTCCAGAACTATATTGAGTAACAGTGGTGACAGTGGATATTCTTATTCTTGATTTTAGAGTGAAAGTTTTCAGTTTTTGACCATTTAGTATGATGTTAACTATTGTCTTGTTGTAGATGATTTTATCAGATTGAGGTAAAGACCACCTATTCTAATTTTCTGTAAGGTTTTTATCATGAATTGGTACTGAGCTTTGCCAAATGCCTTTTCTGTATCTATTGAGATGATCACGTGATTTCTGTCTTTGGCTCTGTTAATATGGAGAATTACATTTATTGATTCGCATATATTGAATCATCCCTACATCCCTGGGATGAATCCTACTTTGTCATGGTGTATAATCTTCTTGAAGATTTGCTGTATTCTGTTTGCCAATATTTTATTAAGGATTTGTGTACCTTTATTTCTTTTCTTTCTTTCTTTTTTTTTTTTTGGTGCTAGGGATTGAACTCATGACTTCCCGCCTGCCAGGCAGGCAATAATGAATGCCGCTGAGCTACCCCCCTGACCCCGTATCTATTTTTTTTTAGGGATATTTGTCTGTA